TGGATTGAAAGTTGTATTTTCATGGTAGTGTTTGACAAAATCAACATTTACTGACAGTGAAAAAATTAGTTTAGAAATTGCTTTTTAAAATGCTTTTCAAAATATATTGTTCACAACGTAGTACAATTGTCAGTCGACTATTATGAATAAAAATATGATACAGAGAACAACTCTAGCATTGATCAAATGAAATTTTGAGGGTGTGTGAAGAGTATTCACACAGTTAAAACCACGCCTACAACCTAATTGCACAGTATAAACATCAATTAATGTTTCCGATTGCCCTTAACAAAATCATTTGAAATATTCATTCAACAAAATTGTTTCTCTCCCTGTAGAATTTACTAATTGTTTTTCATGCTAAACTTGATTCAAGTCTTTTCAAACTATTTCTATATAATTGAAAACTTAAAATTTGTTACAAAATCGTTGTCACATTTTTCAAATAATCTTCTTTGTCAAATATACCAGTATGTTTTACAGTCGATTTCAAAAACTTTCAAATCAATCCGACTGAAATCTCCTATCGACATATTATATCCGAATATGATTCGATTCTATGAAGAAATGCCAACTTTTTCATAGAGAAAAACAAAGAAAATTGTCGAAGCATACATGTTTACAGCATAGACATCATCTCCAAATCGTCATAATTTAGATTTTTTGTAAACTAATAAATGATTTCAATAATAAATCTAGTAAATATTGTTTTAGTTAAAACAAAATATTCGATTGAAAAATCTTATTGAAAATATAAACGAAATGTTATTTTCTTGTATCGAAATCACATGAGAATTCCAGTAGAGCAAAAAATGAATGTTCATTAAATTTTTCATACAAAATATAAATTAAAAAATCTATAGAAATTGCAGCATTTCTTTGATTATTCGTATTTTTTTTTCAATAATATAAAGTATAATTAATTGAAGTAATTATCACATGTTAGAATGTTTATTTGACGATCAGAACTATTTGATGCTAAATCAACTATCCGATGAGACCATTTGTTTTATTAAATAATTTGAAGTATCACCAATAAGATAATGATTGACTAATTAACCATAATATTTCAAAATATGAAATAGTACACAATGAATATTACTATTTTCGAAAATCTGTGGCAAAAAAATGATGAATTTTGAATTTAAATCGAAATTTCTTCATAGATGTTTGATCTGTTTTGTCTTTTAAAGCATTGCTAGTAGTAGAGTATGTTTGCTTGTCGAATGAAAACCTGTTTTTTTTTCCTGTAACGATTATAGAACGAGCTCGAACATTAATATCATTATCTAAAATATTCAATATTCATATGTTATGAAATATTTTATTTTCGTTACCTTGATCATGAGATAAATGAAAAAAAAATCATCGAGATAAAGTTCCAAACTATTTCTTATCTGTTCAAGCTAAAAATATTCAAACGTTATTTTTGTTTGTTCATTGAAAGATTTAGCTTCTATCAATGGTACATAATCAGCAAAATTGTTTTTTTTTCAACAACGAACTTCATGTGAAAATCATCGAACAGATTCACAAACGACTGCGACTTGTTCGTTTTCATTAATACCAGTTTTCATTATTTTAATACTACAACAATTTGTCGACATAGAACGATTAGACTAAAGAAGTGTGAAGGTGAATATGAATAGTTTCAATAGTGATAGAATTAACTTGTAATAATCAAGTTTTAGAAAAATATTGATAATATATGTAAAAAAACGATATATTCGAATAACTAATGAATATCTAAAGAAAAATCTAACTTAGATAATTACTGATTACGTATGAATTACTTTGTCGATGCAGTGATAATATCATGTAAACAATCAAAATATCTTTTTTTCACATAATTCCAGTGATTAATCAGATAATAAATCTCTAATAAAAAAACCTAATCATTCTTTCAAGAATCTATTGGTTTAAATGGTCTCATTCGAAACAATGAATTACTCGTGGTTGTTTCTTCATATATAAATCTAATTGATCAATAATATGTTAAATTAAATCAATAATTTCTTTAAATAGATAATATTCATAATTTTCTAATTCTCGTTCAATAGTGTAGACTTAAATAGATGTCAATAACAAGGAATCAATGCTTGCGTAACTGAAAAAAATACTAGCAATTTAATTTTGTTTGTAAATCAATCAAAAGAAAAACATGAAACGTATCGATTGATTGTGATATTCCATGAAGTTTACAAGCCTAAAAAAATTCATTTATAAAAATCTAAGAAAGAATTCTCATCTTACATTTGCAAATATTCCATAAGCACAAATTCCCATTGTTAATTGTCGATTTTATCACAGAATTATTTTATAAAATATTGAAAAATTTTTACTATTCATCGACATTTTTCTACTGTTTTTATTATATTGATTTATTTCGATGCATTTGTAACTTAACATTAGCATTAAAATCAATTACTTAAATCAAATCAATTTATTCCAAGTAAAAATAAATCATAAGCACGTTGAACTACTTTTTTTTCATGATAATTGTCATGTGTATTCCATGATCGAATAGATCGAGAGAATTATTCTTATTTATTATTTAAATTTAAAAACAAAAAAAAAATCATATTATTGTCGTCAACTGTATTCAGTATCACTTATTTATGTTGAAGAAAAAGTACTTAATCAATATTTCATAAGTAAACTATTTCATTTTATTGATTTTAATTCAGAAAATAATGAATTGATTAATAATTATATTGTTTTTTTTCCTTCAAATTGTAGGTGATTCGATTCTTAGTGATCTTCTTAGCAAACAAATAACACATCTTAATATTGAAATTAAGGATGCAAATACAAAATCATATAGAAACATGTCAAACATTTTTGTATTGATTTTATCTGTGTGTAAAAAAACTGTATAGATTTAAATTTTTGAACGGAAACATTGGAATCGTCTATCTGATTTACCAGCAACACGTTTTACATCTTCGACGTTAACTAAATGTTTGTTTCTTGTTGATGCACATTTTGATATCGCAGTTAGGTCTCCTTTGATCATCATTTTTATATTATAAACGATCAGATTTGATTTGATTGCATCTTCATAGACGAGACATTAAAATAGTTTTATTTTTCCATTTATTCGTCGAATGATAAATATTGAAGAATTGAAATTCTATTTATTAATTTAAATTTCTGACTCAAATTATAATGATGGTATTCAATTATATGATCAACTTCTTGTTCATATGAATAAAATTTTAAAAAAATTGCATCTAGTATTCAAAGATTTGTCTACAGATGAGAGACTAATATCAATCTTTCATGAAATTAAGATATTCAATGGAGTTATTCGAAGCGAATATCAACAAGTTGATTCATATATAACAGTTCAATGTTTAGCAATGATTGATAAATATTCTTTTCAACATAAATTCTTTAAATATATATCTTAATATTTACCATTCATTGAAATCTTACATTATCGTAATGATCAACGGCAAAAAGACAATCAATATTCATCTACTAGATTGAGAAAATTTTCTCATTCTAAATTTGTTCATCTAAAATTGTTCTATGTAGATTATGCTGAATAAATTGTCTTTGAAAAAACAACTGATCTACCTCGTTTATTGAATCTGCATTAACTATCAATTATTGACGATGATAACAAACTGTTTTACTATTGATACAAAAAATGTTAAATTTAGTCAAATAAAATGTCTTTATCTAAATATATTGTTGCTTCATTTGAAAAATTTGCTAAAATATATTCCTTTTGTTATAAATTGTTTCAATAAAAGAATATATTTTGTATTTTTTCTATATAATCTTTTTCTCAAGATCGGTAAAAAACGATTAATTTTGTTTTATGTTGAGATATAATACTTTTAAAAAGTATGTTTATTTATTGTCAAGACATTTGTTTTTTGTCATTTCTGCAAAAAAAACATTGATTCGATAGTTTATCGTCATAGTACAAATTTCATATGACTTTCTTTGAAATATTGTAACAACAGGACACTTTCATCATTCTCTTTCACTGTAGAAGACGTTTTTCTTTTCTTTTTATATCAGAATATGATCAGATGAATGTATATAATCTGAATCAAGATCTATCATGGATTATACTATTCTAAAGAGTTCACGACTCATCAAAAGCTTGAGTAAGTGACTATATAGGGTGGTGAGTGTAGATCTGACCTTCTCTAATAAAACTACACTCACACACACCCTAATAAACTTCACTTGAAAAAGTTCAATGTCAAGAAAATGCTTGTTTACACATATATGAAAGCCACATGTGGGTTACGTCTTTCATTCTTTGTCGGGAGTTCTATACATGATTATTTATCGTTTTTTTATTCTTTTTTTCTGTTTCTTTTTTCACTTACACACACATACCTCCTACATAAAAGTGAGTCTAGAGAAAAGCAAAAAAAAAACGAAACATCTGCCTTTTTACTGACACATATTAACGTCACATATTGCTTACGACAATTTTCTTGGTCATGGTATCAGTTTTATTTGCAAGTTTCTTTGTCATTGCCGCTATTTTAATTTATATCTACTTGAAACGAGATTATTCTCCATCATTAGATGATCTACCAGGAGTAAAACCACCTCTGTTTTTTGGTAATCTAATCAATTCGGGTACAACGACTGGAAAATCAACATTGACTCAGATCATGCTCGATTATCAACGTCGCTTTGGTGACAAGTTTCAAATTTGATTCGGTTCACATCGATGTCCAACTTTTTGTCAAATCGAACATGCGCAAACAATATTTTCTGATCGTTATACATTCGAACAATCGCCATTATTTATTCCAAACTTTGATCTACTTTGCCCCAATGGAATTGTAATGTTGAATGGTGCTAAATGGAAAAGACACATACGAGTTTTGCTACCGATGTTAAAACGAGCAAAAATTATAGGCTATTTAGAAAGAATTGTTTAATGTGCTGATCGTTTTATTGATCGAAATCTTCATTCTAGCCAAGTTCATGGAAATCTTATATTATGCTGTCAGTCATTCACAATGAATGTCATTGGATTGATTGGATTCGACTATGATTTCGATATTCATGTTAATTCATCAATAAAAAAAGCTTTTCAGGATTTGATATTCCATGCCGTATTGCTTGTGAATACACCCTGGATTCCTCGATGGTTAGGAAAAATTTATTTGAAATATAATTGGAACTATCAAAAAGCTTATCGATTGATTCATGAATTGGCAGAAAAACTCGTTGAAGAAGAACAAAACAAACAAAGTGACATAGAAAATGAACGACCAAAGAATCTAATTGCATCATTAGTCTCATCATTGAATGAACAAGCCAATGATGAACATACTTCATCAGGTATAACACGTGCGGAGATGTTCGACGAGATTTTAATGATGATCTTAACTGGTTATGAAACGACATCAACTGCTCTTTCATGGTTCATATTCTTCGCAAGTAAAAATTCTCAAGTGCAACAACGTATGAAAGACGAATTACGTGAGCATCATCTTTTAATGACTGATGATCTCACAGATGCACCACGGCTAACGTCAGAAAATTTAGCATCACTAACCTATTGTGAATGTGTAACAAAAGAGGTTAGTTTTGTTTTGAAATCTTAGATTATTTTTATTATACTATTTTCTGTATCGAGGTCTTACGTCTGGCTCCAGTCGTTTCACTCACGACACGTATAGCTACTTGTGATACCACTGTTGATAATGTAAAGATTCATCGTGGTCAAACTGTTTTTATCGCTTTACATAACATCAATACTGATGCTCGGTATTGGCATCATGGTGATCCTCGACAATTTTTACCAGAAAGATTTTTAGCTGAAGATCAAAATCACCATCCATTAACGATGATTCCATTTGGTGGTGGACATCGAGCATGTATTGGACAAGAATTAGCTTGGCTAGAATTGAAAACAGTCATTGTCCGATTGATGCAACGTGGTATTACATTCGAAGATACGCTGGAAAATACTGGTGGTTATGACGAACGACTTACCTGTTTTCCAAAAAACTTAGCAGTGCGTGTACACTTCGATAAATATTAATCTTCTACGCTAATGAAACTAGAACTACAGACAAATATTCAACTAATTTTGTTTTGATATTCTTTATATTATGTCAATTCTTGCTTATTCATGTGCATGAAAATACTAGAATTTCAATGCTTGATCTATTACATCATTGAATGATGTAATTTTTCGAGACACCAATCCTGGCGCGAGAAACCTGATTCGATTTTGATGAATGGTGAGTGACTGTTATCCATTTCGACATAAATAATATGCTCATAATTAAAGTAGAGAAGTTTTGAGTATTGTAGAGTGAAAAAATAATTCTGATTAGAACTAAAAGTATTATTACTATTACTCATGTGCCGCTGTCCATGCTATTACAAGAGAAAATGAAAATGTATTTAGAGGACTTCATAATAATGTCGCTTCGTTGAACGAAATATTAACTCGACTATTATACTTACAGATTGATCTTTCCTCAATGATAGAACTATTAAATGATTTTTTTAAATTATTACTTTCATAATCTTATGATCCACATGCAAAGATGTTTCCTGCACAACAGCCATCGGAAAATAGTGCAGTAAATGCTTTATTATGTAGAAATAATTCAGCAACTGAAGTAATGGGGTTCATAAAATAAAAATGACCATGTTAGCATTTTTAACAATTCTCAATACGATTTGACTAAAACACTAGTCTCAATCATGATTGGAAGGACATAAGGAGAACATTCGTGTTCATCAATCCTCACCATAATATAAAATGCCTGACCGTTTTCTCTTTGCTTTGACAGAATTTCATTCTATGTTGTATTAGAACTCTGTAATTCACTAGAGACTTTAAATTATTCTATGAAAAGAAATCCAAACAGCCTTTTCTCTCTCTCCAATGAAATAGTTCGTGAGTGTCGGGTGTGGTTGAGGGTGTCAGTTTTCATTTTAATCACTTCGACACCCATACCCACACACTCATGAATTTGAAATATTTGATTGAGCGTAGCTCCATCATTAACTTCATGCAGCATTGTGCTTGGTTGATAAGTAAAATAACTGTACGAGTATGTTTTTATCTAGAAAGATTTCTTTCTGCACCAGTTCCAACAAAAGTCACATGTGTTTTATTTGAATTTGTACCAGAAGAAATTTTCGCAAATGTCATGGAAGGATGCCATAACTAAGTATAACACTCACACCTACACTTTCAGCAAGATTTCTCTTATGATTTAAAATGGTCTAACAAGAATTATTGAAAGCCATCAACGACTATCAACACTAATACTGTTATTTTACTGAAAGACTTGGAAAATTTTTAACATTCTTCTTTTCTCATATTTCCATTGAATCATTTGTGATTCATGCACCTTGCGAAAAGAGATTTTCTTGAGTATATTAAGATGTTGTTGTTAACCCTCGTACTAACAAGTGGTTCAGTTTTGACTCATACTGAAAAATTTGAAAATACGGTAGAAATATTTTGGCATTTCCTGACTTTCAAAATTAAGTAGCATTTCTCACGAATTAAATTATAATGTTGGATCTAGAAAGATATTCATCGCCATTTTTTGAGTCATTACAAGTCTTTGATGTAATATGACGTCTCCATTATGTAACCGATATAGTACTAAAAAAACAAGTTAAATTTAGCTTTTAATCCGAAAACTAATAAATAACTTAGTATTGTAATTGGATAGGTTCACTATGTTCGAGACAAGTATTTCTTTTATGAATTGAGAGTATCCAATTAGGGTAGAATATAATTCATTCACGCTTGGGCGAATAATTTTATTTGTTGTACCTTTTTGTTATATGTTCGCTGCATAATAAAGACACCTAGTCGCATCAGTAGCTTTTAATGACTCAAAGAAATGCGATGAATGTCTGTTTAGATCCAACATTATAATTTAATTCGTAAGAAATGCTACTTAATTTGGAAAATCAGGAAATAACGAAATATTTCCACTGTATTTTCAAATTTTTAAGTTTGTGTCAAAAATGACCCATTTCGTAGTACTGGAGTTCAATATTCGATCGTTTTAACTTTATAATTCCGTTAAACTAAATTTTTTTCAAGAAGAAAAGTTTGAAGTATTTAAAGATGAGTATGTACTGTTGTAGTAACTCGATACTAATTGTATATAAGAATAACTGTAGACATTTTCTTTGGATGTGTTATTTACATATACATGAGTACAACATATTGTGAATTTCAAAGTAAAAACTAGTTTAATTTTTTCTACTTCCTTCTGCTTTTCGAGATTCTTCATGTGTGTGGATTTTTTTATTTTGTACACAAGATTCACTATCTACAAGTCCTGAAGCATATGGCTGTATTCAAATTTGTTGTGGCATGCAAATTTCTGTGAGCATCTTGTGTAGGTCTGTTCGTAATAAAGTACGTAGTAAGAAAAAATCAAAACAGAAAGAAAACTAGGCAAAATAACGAATGCTAAGAAACGAATAAGTGACCTAGCTGCAAAGCTAAAAAAACCAATCATTCGACAAAACGAGCAAACGGTGTTACATACACAAGAGCACTTCTACACAAAATTTTCTCTACATATTTGGTTTTGTTCAGTTCGTTGTAGTGAGCAACTTATTAGTCTATATCATGCTTATTTATTGTTTTAATTAGCCTGTAGTCATTGACGATGTATATATATTAAATAATTAGTTTGCTTGCTTTTCTCTCAATGCCATACATCATATTTAATTGCCCAATAGACGGTCGTCGAACTATCAGCATAGTGTAACTAATTTTTAATAATAAAAGGTATAAAAAATGTGCTCTTGATACAACAGTAAAATCTTCATGCCGATGAGAATACAGATGAAAAGCTTTGTATCTTGCAGTACTCTATCCCATAGCCAGCCTGATATGCTCTGAACCACGGAGCCATTAGGTCTGAGGAGGCTTGAGCCTTCTCTAAAATGGGATAATGGAGGCTTGGACAGGCTCAAATATCTGTAAATATTTTAAAGAATAGTCAAGCATTAGATAATCCATGCCCACTATTAAACATCTTGATCTATTAGTTATAACAGCTTCTCGACAGAGCTAAATAGTGAGTGCATTTAACTTGTCTTTATCCCATCTAAGCCTTTGCTGATCATAGTCATTTTTCTGCATCTCAGTTTTATAAAAAGTTCCAAAATAATCGACGAACAGTAAATTTTTGGTACATAAAATCTTCGCTATATAGTATTAAGGCACGTCTTTTTCTACACAATAAGAAAAAGAATTGATATATTAATATAATTGATCGTATTAACATTACCTGTTTATATCATGAAAAGAACATACAGGGGATTTCAAAGATTACTTTCATAAATATATATAAGTCTACTACTAATCAAAATTAATACAAAACTGTTTTTTTTTATTTACAAGAGGAGGCTAACAAATTTTTACACCTACAAACCAAGTTCATCAACAGCGTAGCAGCAGTAAGATTCAAGACTGCAAAATGAAAAAAATTAAGCTTTTCTTAATGTCAAAAATGATATGGAGTGGCTGTTTTGATATCGGCTGCAATTTTTATCGTTAATATGAAGTTTAGATCATTGCAATTTAACTATACGAGTTTAGAAGCGCCTATTCTAATATATTCTCGAGAGAAAAGCATGAGAGTCAATCTTAATAACAAGTTGTGCTATAGAACAGTATAACGTGCACTTTTTCAAGGTGGTAATAATTTTCGAAAAATCGCGAGAGACCCACTGAGAAGCAATGCATCAGTTATTCGTTGTTTCTAAAATGTGTTGAAAAAAATCAAAATTCTGGTCGAAAACAAAAGGAACACTACATATTGTTTTTGACAAGAAAAATCTAATGGCTTTTTTTTTTTAGCCAAAACTCCTACTTTTACTACGTTGTTGATGCATTTGGTCTTTATGAATAAAAAATTACTCAGCTACCTTTTCCGATAAGAAAAAGTTTCAGATTAAACTTGATTAATATCGATGTGAAGCGCATTTGATAAGTGGTAGTGATTTTTGGAATATCCTGTACTAGTTGATCATTTTTAATAATACCTGCATCCCTCATATAAGGAAACATCAGATTAAATGGAATAGGACAATATCTACCCTTATTTCATATAAAAAATAGTTGAAAAGCATTTTAGCAGTGACTAGTGTTTTTCAGCTCGACTTATTTTATTTACTTTCGATTAAGTTCAAGATCTCTATGAACATGTTGATCCTCCATTGGGAAATTTGGCATTGAAGTGAAATTTTTCATTATAGTGCAAATTTCGAAATGCGAAAACCCTAGAAATGCGTTAAAATTAAAAGGAACATCATGAAACTAGAATTTTGTCACTTTTTCATTCCACCACTTATCATTGCCTAGGAAAAATTTTTTGAGCCCCTAAATTTATATCTTTTCGCCGCCCATGCTCTACACCCACACCCTTTTTACCGATAAATGATGCGTTTAAACGCATTTTCAAATCTACGTTTAACTAATAGCGAAAACACGTCAACATAAAAATAAACGCCTTGGAATGCAAACTTTTTCAAATTTTTTTTCGTAGGCAATTCATACTGGGAAAATCTGTAAATGAATTGATATCCAATTCAAAGGTACACCTCTTATTCGTTGGAATCTTCTAAGTATGTTGATGATAATATTTATATCGTAGACATTAGACTTGTCTTCGTTGACGAAGAAAACTATATTTTAATAGTAAGAACTCTACATAGGCAACTCATTCCAGATCAGGCAATAAAACCCCGGAACAATGACTCTTGATGACGATTGAAAGGTAAGAATCTAAAATGAAGTAACAAGTAATGATGTTAAATCCGAACGATCTCTAACCAGTGTGAAGAAAATTTTACTTTTATGCTTTGTGCAGCTGGTTACGATGCCTTAGTTTTCCGTACAATCAAAAGGAGAACACATTTTTCATTACTGGAACTGCTGATGTATTCAGGACAATTGTGAAACAATCTATTAAACTAACGTATTTTTATTAAAATATTCAGAAAGAGCACGAATTCGTGTACAAAAGTATTTGACAAGCTGTG